ATAGGATAGCTTCTTTGTAGAAAGTACCAGGATGGGCGCTTTACATATAGTAAGTAAACAATATGCATAACAATGTCTCTACAAAAAGAATAGCTTTGAAAATAAAAAATAGGGAAACTCCAAAAGTTAACTTTCAATTCGTTAAACTTGTGTTTCCAAATAAAGTGCTTTCGTTAATGTCAGTAATTAAATAAAAAAGTGACAAAAGACCTGAAACTAGAGCACTGAAATTTTGTACAGCCTTGGCTACTTGTGGATAAACACGATTAGTCATCGCTTCTAATTTGACAGGCACGAGTTCTAAGTCTGGCACTTGCAGTCCAAATAAATTATGTACGGACTATAAACTAATTAAAAATTCAATTATTTTCTAATCCTGCTTCTTTAGCTTCTTTTTGTCGCCATATAAAGAAAGCGTAAGCTTTTTCAGCAACACTAATACTTACTTCAATATTTACTTATATATTATATACATATATGAAATATTTTTGAAAGTAATATTTTCTTCAAAAACACATTGACTTTAGAACCTTTTTTAATTTATCTAACGCAAACTAGGGACACAGTATCAAGAAAATAACAAATCCTCAAAACTCAATTTCGATGTTCTTAGATGATATTTTTATTGCATTAATTTATACAAAAAAAAGGTCTACAAATTCAATGGTGAAGATTTATAAATATTAGAAAATAAATGTCTACAAATCTTTTTAACTTAGCCGTTCTGAGATAAAGACCAAAAAAAACCTAAAGTGCTAACTTCTCAAAACACTTACCAGAAGAAAAAATCACAAAAGTGAGGAAGAAATTACTATAAATCTCTCCAAACTTTATCGTTCCGGTAAACCAAATACATTGCTTTTAATTACTTTATTCACTGACTTAAATTAACACAATTGTTAAAAATTAGTTTTTCCGAGCGCCCAAAATAAGTCTTTGACAACTTGACAATTGTAAAACGTATTGTAAATATAACAAAACTGCTTTATAGTTCTATGCACTTGATCTAGTCGTAGCCAAATGAAACATGTATTGATATTATTGTACGTATTGTGTTTCAAAAAAAAAAAATTAGAAAAAGTTAGGGGATCTTATACAGCACCCTGGAAATCAATTATAATCCCTTAATGGATTCACAATATATATCTTAAAGCTTAATTTCATTACTTACCTTATCAAGGTTTATATCTTTTATTCAAGATACTTCCGTTTATGTGAAACTATATAAAGTCCTTATTTTGTAAATAATTATTTCCATAATTTAGAAAAAGCCTAAAATTAACTTTAACATATACATATATATTATTCTCGTTAATTTTGGCAATATAAAACTCGAGTACTTGTCAGTTTTATTAAAACCAAATACCTAAGTACCCATATTCTTAACAACACTAACCTGCATCACCGGCGACGCTGCTGCGCTATTTTTATGAAGTTTGAAATACGAGTACCGAATATAATATTTATGGAATGATTAAGGTTTTTAACGATAAAAAGGAATTGATCTATCTTAATCACGAAACACTAATTGAAGACTCATACGTTGACTACAAACTTAAGCATGAGTTATTCAATTTTTCTGATAAAAAACCTAAACATACAGAAGAAGGTACCAACGACAACTTGGCAACAAAACCAGACGTTAAAGAGAATAATAAATTAAAGCGAACAAAATGTATTTGTTTGACAAACGAAATGTCTGCCCTGGATCAAGATTGCAAACAATTTCTCGCAAAACTAAAAACAGCAATAACATTCCCTACATTTTCTTCAGAGTGTGAACTCCCACATTATTGGGATGAAGCTATGAACTTTCCTAAATTTCATGGTGAAAACAATACAGGTATATTCCAAAGTTATGCTCTTAACAGGAGAACATATTTAATACCCTCAAAAAGTCGTTTTTTTAACTACAATGTAAATGAATTGCAGCGACTCTTGCCGGAGCTATGTCAATTTGACTTGATTGTGATAGATCCACCCTGGCGAAACAAATACATACGACGTCTGAAACGAGTACGACAAGAATTATCCTACCAAATGCTTTCTAATGAAGAATTGCGCAATTTACCTATTAGTCAATTAATACATAAACATTCACTTGTTGCTATTTGGTGTACGAATTCTAGCCAACATCAAACAGCGTTGTTAGAAGAGTTTTTACCGGAATGGAATTTACAATTATTACATGTTTTAAAATGGTTGAAATTGAATATTAATGGTGAACCAATCAGTTCTATTAGCAACGCTGGCCAAAAACAGCCGTTCGAGATGTTATTTATTGCCCGCCATCAGGAAGCGGATGTAGATTTTGCAACCTCGATAAGGCAAGTGGAAATGTTGTTTAGTGTGCCTAGCATTATACACTCGCACAAGCCACCATTGTACGCTTGGCTAGGAGAATATTTGCAAAATGAACCCAAGTGCTTAGAAATATTCGCACGTTACCTGCAACCTTCTTTTACTTCTATCGGTTTGGAAGTACTTAAGCTAATGGATGAACGCCTTTACAGCAAAACATAGTTCAAAAACTCGTATATATATTTTAGTATGAGATAATTGGTTGCATGTTTATTGTTTAAAGCAATACTTAGAAAATACAATTTTTGTATGTTAATAAACAAAAAAAATAATATGACGGTGTAATTAAATTATTTAGCTTTGTTCTAGTAAAACATTAGAAATGTTAAGTTAAATTAGTTTTATATAAAAGGCATGATTTATGATTTATTATTATTCGTGTCCTTGAGCAGCAGCTGCAGGATTTGTAGGTTCATTACCACCCCGTTTCTTTGAACCTGAAACTATGTCATCAATGCGCAGCAAGAGGATAGCTGTCTCGACTGCAGTCTTGTAGGTTTGCATTTTAACCGACAATGGCTCCCATATACCTTTTTTATTCATGTCAACAATTTCACCAGATTCGCCATCGATGCCCCAAGCACATACACTATCTCCTGTACATTGAATATAAAATTGTCAACATTAAAATAACACAACGCTTTTAAAGCATAATTTAGTTACCTGAGTGTGAAGCGTGCTTTGCACGTAACGCTGTCAAGGTGCGAATTGTGTTAGCACCACAGTTTTGTGCTAACGTACGTGGTATGATTTCCAAAGCTTGTGCCACTGCAGTATATGGTCCCTTCAACTGCTTGCGAGATAGTAATTGTGACACTGCCATTTCTATAGCACCACCGCCAGCAACTAAACGTGGCTCTAAAACCAGATTCCTAGCAACGTTCAATGCGTCTTGTAAATTGCGTTCTGTTTCATTTAATATATCCTTAGAAGCACCACGTAACAAAATTGTGCAAGCCTTAGGGTCTTTGCAGTTAGTAACAAAAGTAAAATACTCATCTCCAATTTTCTTAATTTCAAACAGACCAGCACCAGTGCCTACATCTTTTTCAGTCAATTCTTCTGTGCGGTTGACAATAGTTGCACCACATGCTCGTGCTAAGCGAAGATTATCTGTTTTACGCAAACGTCTTATCGCTGTTATGCCGGCTTTAAGCAAATAGTGTTGTGCCAAGTCAGACACGCCCTTTTCAGTGAAAACAATATCTGGCTTAACTGCAATGATATCAGCGCATACGCGTTGCACAAATTCTTCCTCAATTTGCAACATACGAGTAAAGTCCTGGTCACCAATGATCTCTACATTAGTTTGACTCTCGCCTTTTTTGTATTCCAAAGAGCAATCTAGCAACACAATACGTGGATTCTCAATGTAACGACGCATTTTTGGGTGTGTGACATCCTTATTAATCATAACACCCTTTAATACACAGGACTCCTCGATACTACCACCTGGAATTTTTTCCACTTTCGCGTAACTAAAAATTAAAAAATTATAATCCATCATAAGTCTGCAGACCATTATTATTTTACCGTTTGATATCAACTTCTAAACGTCCATTCTCCGTAAGTTTGACTGTATCAACTGCATCTAATGCAATTTTAACAGCCAGTTCAGACCATTTCCCAATGAATTTTGTACCAACGCAGGACTTAACAACGTCAACAACTTTGTCTTTGTTATTAGCATCTAATGGTATGCTCAAATCACTTTGCAAGTGGTTTATAATGTCTTCCAATGCCTCACGATATGCACGTATGATAACTGTAGGATGAATTTGTTGCTGAAGAAACTGCTCTGCAGCTGCTAACATTTCGCCAGCTAATACAATAACAGATGTAGTGCCATCACCAACTTCTTCATCCTGAGTTCGTGCAATTTCAATCATACTCTTTGCTGCAGGATGTTGAACTGTGATTTCACGTAGAATAGCATTGCCATCATTTGTCATTACAATACCACCCATCGGGTCCATAAGCATTTTTAACATAGCCTGTGGACCAAGACAAGTGCGTATAACATCAGCAATAGCCTATATTTTTAATTAAAGGAAATAAATCATTCATATGGACAAATACAGTTGTATAGAAACGCATGCCGAATGAGTCACACTCACCCTTACACACTTACCTTTCCGGCGTTAATATTCTCCAGCTGCACCTTGCGACCGGATTCTCTTTTTGTGTTTTGACCTATTAGACAAATAATTACATACAATAGTTTTTCTAAAACGTAAATATTTATATTTACTTAAAACAAGTATAGGCTGAGCTCCACCAAACATTTTAAAACAATTTTAATTAAACTCTTTTAACGAAAATAATAGAACTCGTGCTATGCGTTGTACCGCGGCTGCTGACAAAAGATATGAGAGAATGACGTGAGTTATTGAGGTTATGAAACGTACCACTGCACCGTAATGAATGTCAAAATTACAGCATTTGAGATGGAAAATAAATGTTTACATGATAAGCATTCAGTATGAGTGAGCGGGTTAGATAGTATTCATATTTTGGAACTATGTTTATTGAGTAATTCCAGAAAATTCCTCACACTGAAAACTAAAGTTTTACAATTACCTTATATATATACAGTAGTGCTTATATTATTATGTTTTTTACATTGTTTTATACCATATGTTACTCCTTAATTAAAAATTAATATATAGTAATAGAAAGAAAATTAGTAACAAAATAGTTAAATAGCAATTAAAGTAAGCAAAATGAAGGCACATGTTAATTAATTACATTATTCAGAAAATTTGACATCGGATGTCACAAGATTATAGTCACTTAAAAATTATTATTGGTTCTAATCATGCCAGTAGATGAGTTCCAGTGTTTGTGTGACCGAACGAATTCTTGACAAATCAAAAATGTGTTTGTCATACCCATATATCATGGTTATATGGAATTTTTGTTCCATACAGCTGATTTCCATAGAATCATGTGAGTAGATATTTCTGTATTCATAATTAATTTAGTTTAATTAATTTATATTAAACCATAATATCCTAAGTTTTATATAAAATATGAATACAAGCAATGAATTGTAATAACCAATAAATCTATGTATACGTATAAAGTGTTTACTTGCTATAAAATGTTTACTTCTTTAATTTGCAAAATACTTTTTAAGAATGTTGATTTTAATGTCAAGTACAAAATATGTTTAAATAATTTATTATGTAGCTAATAATTCTATATTAAATAAACCACTACGGTTCCGATATTCGACAAGGTTTTATAGTTAAATTAAAAATCAATATTGTAATAGGTTTATCAATTAGTAATAGATAATTATTAATGTGAAATTAAAGTTTTTGTATCCACTGCACAAATTCTTAAAAAACTCAAATTGTAAAATTTTTTAAGGTGTACTGAGAGCACATAAGAAACACAGCTTCATAGCATTTTATTTAAATTGACATTTAAAGAGAGAATAAAATTTATTTACATGCACGTGCGTGCCGGACACTTGTAAACTATTTGGAAGAATCGTTTTTTGTTTTACAATTTACGCACTAAAATGTCTCTTTTAAGAATTAGGTAACTTTCCTAAATTATTTTGTGTAAATAATTATTTAATATTTTATGTTTTTAGAAAACCTAAAACCCGCAAGGGTAAAAAGGTTTTGTTGGCGAGGGAACCACAACTAATTGAACCCACCAGAAATATGCTTTTCCTTGACGGTCGTAAATGTGGGGGCGATGTTAAAACATGCATGAAAGATATGCAACAATTAAAAAAGCCTTTAGTCAAAGTTTTAAACAGAAACAATGATATCAATCCCTTTGATGATCCAACATCTTTAGAATTGTAAGTACAGCAATTCGTCATATTATTAATTGGTTTTAACGAACGATATTATTCTTATACATACCTTTAGCTTAACAATGAAGAACGACTGTGCCCTATTTGCATTTGGTTCAACAACAAAAAAACGCCCAAATAATTTAATACTCGGGCGCATTTTTGAAAATGAGATTTTGGATATGGTAGAGTTAGGCATAAAGCGCTACGGTGCTATGGCAGACTTCAAAACAGATAAAATTGGTACCTGCGTAAAACCGTGTTTAGTTTTTAACGGTCCAAAGTGGAATCAGACAGAGGAGTTGCGTCGTCTTCGTAATTTATTGATAGATACATTCCAAAAGGACAAAGTTGACGCGATACGTTTACAAGGCATTGAGCATGTAATGGGTTTTACTTGTACTGATGATATGACAATTATAATGCGGTCCTATAAAATACTCCTAAAAAAATCCGGTCAAAAAACTCCACGCATCGAGTTAGTAGAAATTGGTCCAGGCGCTGATTTTTCCATAAGACGTACCAAGATTGCATCAGAAGATCTATACAAGCAGGCTAGAAAACAACCAAAGGAAATGAGAGTAACAAAGAAAAAGAATATCACACGCGATGAGCTTGGTAATACGCATGGTCGCGTACATTTGGGTAAACAAAATGTGGGCAAGATTCAGACAAGAAGAGTGAAAGGTTTGAAGAAAACACCAGAAGAAAAACGAGCAGATCGACAGAAAAAAAAGACGCTATTAAAAGCTGCTGCAAAGGAAGCAGTAGCAAACGCTGTTTAATAAAAATACATTGAAATTTCACATATTGCACATGAATGCTAGACATTTATTTCTTAAATTAGATATAGTTTGGCCAATAAAATAATTTTAAATGCTACCACTTGTTTACTCTGCTTTATTTATTACTTAGACATGACTAATGAATTGCATCCACAATATTTTTGATACGCCTTGTTTTTGATTCCAATAATGCGTCCTCGAGTGTATGTATTATGTGCACCAAACTCGATAAATCTGTTTGCACTAGTAAGTCCTTACGATTTCTACGTTCATCGGCATGAGTGAGTATTTTGTGTTTACTTTTCTCTAACAAGTCCCTGTTTTCATTTTTAGGTTCAGTGTGTAAGTAGAATTTCATAGTAACAAATATATTGCTTTGACGTAGGAGACTGCGTGAAGCAACACGCACCTCCAAACGCCACTCGAGGTGTACAAGACGGTAGGCACGTATGTTTGCTGACTTAATGGAACCTTCTATGAATCCACGCTTACTAGTAACAAACTGCGACAGAATATCTACAGCTTCTTCGCTGAAACCAACATCCTGCAGAAAATTCATGTCGCTCTCGCTAGCATTCGCTTTTGTTGCATCAATTAGTAAGGAAATTAATGATTCTATTGCCTGTTTGACCGCGGTGGGATTGGAGGCGTATTTCTTCGCTAACTGTTCATATCTTTGATTATTGGTGTTAGCCTGTTCATTAGTTAAGTACTCGAAAGCCGATTTACACATTTGGATTATATCGTCCGACGATTTTTCCCGCAAAAATGCAAGATGTTCTTTTTGTTCATTACTTAAAGAAATAGGCATTGTTTACTATTTTCAAATTAAGTGTAATTAATGTAATTAACAAAATATCTGACAGCTATCGAAAGCATAATTGTTATGGATGTTGCCATATTATTTAAAAAACAGAAAAATCAATTAAAATTGATTTTAGGTGTGACGCATAGTTCTGCCACAAACTACACCAACTGTTGTACAGAATTATTATACACAACATTGTGCACTCATGATATCTCTTAAAAAATTCAAACTAAATCTTAAATATTATGTAGATTGTAGTATAATAAAAACATTAATCAAACAATGCGATTAAAAAAATTTATGAAATAAGGTACAGCACAGTTTATTTGTGAAATTGTTGTTACATTGAAATACGTAGTATACATTGCCAAATCTTTCAATGATATTACATCTTCTTGTCGAGAAAAGGATAAATTCAAAAATCAAACATAAATGGCATCAGTACTTTAATAAAAGTAAAAAAATCAAATATCACCAATAATAGGCCTATTTCACGAGCTACTTGTAGTAACTTTGAATAACACTATACATACAAATGCGGTTCACCAGCAAATATTCGAGTAAATGAGAACATCTGAGAGAGGGTAACATCCCTGTCGAAATTTGAAAATGTCTCACAGACTTTACTTTACATTTTATTTCAAATAAAATTTGTGTAAAATGTGAATCAGTTGTTTTGGTTTGATTTTAAATTTTTTTATTTTTTATTTACGCGGCACTGGTGTTCTCACCAGACTTTACACATAAGCGTTCCATAAAAATCGGTGTAAAGAGCGTAATTTGGCACTTTATTTGTATTACACTCTCAGTTTGTACTTTATTTGTGTTTTACTTGAATTTTACTACGAATAGCTCGTGGAACAGACCTAATATATTATTCATTACATTGATCAGATTAATCAAATTATGTAGCTAAATTCATTAGTAATTAGTTAAATGATATTTGTATGTGAGTCTTAACATTTAGTTTGAATTATGGCCATTAAAACAATTAATTATAAAATCAATTTTAAAATTCAAATTAGGTGAAGTAAGTCTCCAAAATTTAAGGAGTTTACCTTAACTTTCAAGGTGTTTCCACATAACTCAAAAGCAATATTTTATCAAAAATTAAAATTTATTTAAAATTAACATTAAACTGCTTTTAGTTAGTTTAAAATGATTTTAAGAGCCTTAATACAAATCTAAAGATTCGCGTTAATGGGATGATAACCGTACAACAAAAATGCGAAGATCAAAAAGCGATTTGAATATGACCAGTATTTTACAACTTAAATTTAACCAATCTGGCACCATTTCAACTGAGAGCCATTCAGCTGCCATTCAGTGAGTGAGAGTTAAAGCAAATAATTAAATTGTTAAAGACTTTGTTTATATTTATAATGTTTATTTAGCAAATAGTACATAAATTGTTTATAGTGCAAATAATAGAATGTATAATGGATTTTGATAGTCCTGATGTGGAAAAAGATTTTCCCGGTTTGTATGCATCGGAAAGTGTCGATGGTAAATCAAAAAAAAGCAAAGAAGAAAGTGATTGTAAGTAAAATATATTTATTTATAAAATATTTTTTATATAAAAACTAATTTATACTAATGTGGTATTTTGTACAGATAGTGAAGGTGACCATGAAAAGGTCAGTAAAAAGGACCTACTTATTGGCAGACGTAAAGAAAAGAAGGATAAGGGCAAGGATCGTGGGTATGCAGCATTAGAGGGTGAAAGTTCTCCAGAGGAAGAATTGGAAGCTAAGTAAGTATTTAATATTTAAATAAATCTGTGCTAATTAGCTAATTATACTAAATATTTT